CGGCAGAGGTCATACATTGCGTTGGAGCACTGCTGATTAAGGAACACCTTGGACGTTTGAATTGTTTTTGCACTAGTAAACTATTTAACTCTTCAGTATCAATAATCAAAACTGCCGAAACTAGCAATACACGCTCTAATAAGGTACTACTCAAGATACAAATTGCTTGATGCCTTTTTATACCAAATAACAGCGAGAGTGCTACTGGACGTGTATGTTACATTCGAGGATTTTAATGCAATTCGCGGAGCTGCATTGCCTTGAGACTATTTATGATGAAACGACAAATTAAGGCCTTCACAGAGCAGTGAAAATGTCTTTCATACCGAAGACGGTAAAAGTAAGGATCTTAATCTTAAATAACCAGTTTTCTTAAATACCTCCACTTATTGGAAATGAAAGTGCTCCAGAGCCATCGAGAAAAAAATTTTATTTGTGCAAAGGATCAAAAACTGTGAACTTCCACCAAACCACTAAAATTTAAAGCACAGATAAAGGCATAACTCAGGAGAGTTGACGACGAAAGCCATTTGGGGTTGCAATTTATGGTATGGAGCATTAGAGATCCGCGCTCCACCGTATGAACTGGACTTCTCTTAATATTCAGGTTTATAGTATGAATTGCCTGTTTGCATTGAGTTAAATATAGTTCATGTCCTTTTGTGCACGTTTTGCATTTTCCTAGGCCGATTGAATGGACCAGAAGATGAAAAATTAAAGTATAGTACCATTAGCTAATCGAAAACTGGAGCCGACTGAAAACAATAAGAGGCAGAGCCGGTGGTACGTACAGCCCTTCGGTTAAATCTGAAAATCCATTCCTGTCCTTCATTGCGTTCTGCAAACGGAATGTATATATATATATATATATATATATATATATATATATATATATATAAAGACCGGAGGTGTTCTCACAACAAAAGGCTGATGGTGCTGTATGAAACGTCCGTGAACGTTCAATTCAAGTTCTCCGAGAAATGGCATGAAGCAAAAACTGATCGATTTTCTATGAAGTGGAAAAACTAGGCAGATAAATTAGCAATGCATTGCTGGTTGATGCGATGAGTAATTTCTCAACGTCATGTCTAGCACAACTTTCATCAGCATTCAACAAACCGGACGCAAGAGGCGTTATTGAAAACTTGTTTTTGAAAACAATTGTTCGCATTCGGACATGTGTTCTGATATGCCAGTTTAGTTTTGGATGAAAAAATTGACGTGTTTATCGAATGCATTCGTCAAGCAGAGTCCACATGTTGCCCATCGGTAACCACTGAAAAGCCTTGGAGGCACTGTGTGCAGCTGTTCCATCCTTAGTGGGAATCCCCACTAGAAAAATCTCACAGAGTCCACTGGGTTTTGGTGTCTGCAAAGACGAATCAGCCGTAAACGGCGCTTCCAGGACTTTCCGTGCGGATTCTGTTTAGTGAATACACTTTAATAAGCGTGGGATTTTGTTTGAGATAGTAATTTATGTGACTTTCCCAATGAAAGTAAAAATCTCACATCACGAGGAGCGGCTTTGCGGACCCCTAAGGTAATAAAAGGCTACGCAGGATGCGCGTGTTAAAGGACTATACTGCTTTTTTACTATAATCAACTAACTGAAAGTTTTTTCACAGATGCACGATTTTTTAATCACAATGATTTATCTTTCCATGAACAACTTCATCATAGATTAGAACAGAATTTATCTCATTCGCCAAAACGAGTGGTTGACTCATTGACCATAAAAGTATATCTTGTCTGGTCACCTGGGCGCTCTAACTGTAGTTAACAGAAGCGGTTCGGGTTCCGTAATAAAAAAACAGATTTAGTTTGAAAACAGCTACCAAAGCCGCACAAATCAACGTGATAGGTAAACATACAGAATGTTACACCTCAATTTCATTAGATCTTTGTTCAAATAGCAGAAAGTTAGATATCTTATAACCACGTAAAATTAATTTAGCAAAACCCACGGTACCACAAGCACACGAAACACAGTTTAATTTATCGGTAATATGTTTTCATTGACTTGAAAATTACCTAACAGAGGATATGCATCGTGATCCTCCAATTGGCCTTAAAATGGCTTATCACTCAGCGTATGCAAACGTACCAGTTACTGGTCCGTGCATGTGGACCGTATCGACCACGCATTCATTATGGTTTCATGCGATAGAAGGAGCGAAGCATTAACCACTACTCCCTAACGAATGTTCGAGCTGGAGGTAGTTAAATCGATCAAATCTATAGCCGTAGTACACCCGCACATAGTTTAGTTCAGGTCTCCTACCGAAAGTTGAACGATTTCTCAGAAAAAAAAGACGGCCTATGAACGAGCGCTTGATATATCACAGGTTTCATACACATACACACACATAAAGAGACTGAGGGG